GCTCTGTCATGTAAGAGCTATTATTATCCCCATTTTAAAGGTGAGGAAATGGGCACAGAGAGGTTTAATTATTTGTCTAAGAATGAACTGCCAGTAAGTGGAAATGCATATGCTTTAACCTCCACACCAGCATTTTCAACATGGGTGATCTGCTCCCCTGGGGACATTTGGCAATATCTGGAGGCATTTTGGGGGTTGTCGCAACTGGGGGATGCTACTGGCCTTTAGTGGGCAGAGGCAGGGATGCTGCTAAACATCCTTTAATGCACAGGGCAGCCCCCATGACAAAGAATTACCTGGCCCCAAAATGTCAATAGTGCCAAGGTTGAGATCCCTACTCTGCTCTATGCTCCCAAGTCTGGGAATTAAATGAGGAGTTAGAACTTTGTGCTCCATGAAAGGCAGATGCTGTTGTCACTATTATTATCTTTTGTCAATATGGCTGGGGGTTCCCTTCATTTATCCAGGGAAGCTGAGCTCCCCTGGCTGAGTACACACAGTGGTCAAGAACCTGGGCTTTGGGGTCACACAGAGCATCATAGCATGCATTCAACAATGATTTATTGAGCACCTGCTACATGCCAGTACTGTCCTGGGCAGTACAGACCCACGTAGGTGTCCTGCCCCGATGGAGCTGTCTAGTGGGGAGAAAAACATTAGACAAGGAAACACACAAGCTCACAGATAATAACACGAGTACATTATGATACATGCCAGGAAGCAAAGGACCTCAGTGCCATGAAAGAGAACAAGAGGGAAGACCCTGATGGGGTGAAGGGCCAGGAAGGCTTCTCTGAGGGGGTGACATTGAACTGAGACCTAGAGGTGGGAGGAAGGCAGGCACTGCAGGTGGAGGGAACGGCTGTGCAAAGGCCCTGAGGTGGGAAATGAAAGCCAGGCAGGGTGAGGGGAGGCTACTTGGAGAGACCAGTTGTGGAAGAAGTTGCAAATGTGGGTTGATAGAGGCCACATTAAGGAATTTGGTCTTTTTGTCAGATAAAGAGCCTTTGAAGGGATTTAATCAGAGCAGTGACACACCCAAGCCTGCCCTTCAGACACTGATCCTCTTGAGGTCCAGGCAAGCCCTGTGTGGAAGATGCTATGTGAGGTTGAAACCCAGAGCCTGTTTCCCCAGCTGGAAAGCACCATACAAAGGCGAGGTTTGTCACATTACACAACCTTAAATAATGTACCTTCCTCGCCCCAAACCCCAAGCAGGTTGTGAAATGTAATGATGAAGCAATTTGCATACTTTACAAGGTTATTGCTACGGCTCACTCATTACTAGACAAAGAGCAGCATCAGTCACTGGAAACACCTGTTTAAATCACAGCGGCTTGTCCCCTGCTGGTAGCGGGGACTTTCCCCCAGGGTCCCTAGTTTCTTCTTGCTGCTTTTGGGTGACTCAGCCCGTGACGCTTTTGCTCCTCCTGGAATCTTCATCTTGCCCTCTTCAAATTTCAAGGTATCCTTTGTCCCAATGTATTCCTCAAATTCCAAGATATTCTGTCCAACCAGGACCTGGACGAACGGCTGTGGCTGCCAGTGAGGTTTGGGGCCTCGTGTCTGAACTCTGATCCCCATTTCTGCCCATTCACATGATATACATGGGACTCTGGCAGGAATCTTTTGACAAGGACAAGAGCTTGAGTCCTTGAGGGGATCTGATTGTCCCTGTATAATCAGGGACAGTATTTCCCAAGGTAGATGTTGCTCAAGATAGTCAAGGAATCATCTAGAGAAAAGGGTTCCGTGGACACCCTTTTCTAGACACCATATTTCAACAGTTAAGCAGCTATTTTTTTTTTTTGGACAAGACTTTTTAGAACATTTAATATGTTAATGTGCATTATAAATCTTCAAGAAGGAGTGATACATATTTATCATTTTTTCCAGGAGCATCTTGCAGATTAGCTTTTGGAAGTACATGCAACAGGAAACGTCATCCCAAGGAAGGACACCTCAAAATGGTCAGCATGGGTCAGGCCAGTGTCTGTGTTTCCTTCTAAGCTCTAAGCTCCCAGGAGGGACTAACCCAAAACTCCCAATTCCCCACCATAGGACCCAACGGAAGGATGAGATGGGGGCTTCTGCTTTGCCTTCCAATACTGCCTTGTTCAGTCTAACCCCTCCACGTTATCAATGACTCCCCGGGGGCAGTGGTTGGGAAAGCTTCCCTTCACTCAGTTGCACACAAAGACAGAAAATGTGTTTGCATGGGCATTGTTTGACCTGCTTAAAAGAATGAAAACTTCTAGCACTTTTTCTTTCTCTTTAATTACTAAAGAAGTACATGTTTTATATTTAAAAAAAATCAAACAATACTAGAGTGTATACAGTAAAAAATGTAAGTCCTCTTTTCATCTCCTCTCCTCCAGCCCCCCCTCCCACCATGCAGTGTTCCATGGTAAGGTTTTGGAGCCCCTGGTTCGGTGGCTGAGAAGGCTTCACTGGAGTCAGAGTCTGGATTCTAATTCCAGCTCTGCCACATCCCAGCTGTGCATCTTTGGATACAAGCCTCAGTTTGCTCATCTGTAAAATGCAGGAACTTAGGGCTTAGGGGAGTATTGAGTGACATGAAACACAGAAAGCATTCAACACAGCACCCGCACCTATGTAGATTCAATTAAATTTGACTCAGAATTTTCCTTCCACAATCAAGCACTGTTTTTAAAAAACGTCCAATTTCATGCAATGAATGTGCCAATGACAGAATTGGGCCATCTCTTCAATCTTTTCATGTGAATATTTTTTAGTCCTTAAGGGCAGTTTCTATATTCAGAAACCACTCTTTAGGGCCGGCCTGGTGGCGCACTGGAGAGTGCGCCGCTTGGGAGCACGGCGGCGCTCCCGCTGAGGGTTCGGATCCCATGTGGAGACCGGTTCCCGCTCACTGGCTGAGCGTGGTGCGGGCATGACACCGAGGGTTGCGATCCTGTTACCGGTCAGTAAAAAAAGACAAAAAAGGAAAAAAAAAAAAAAAAAGAAACCACTATTTAGAGGTTTACTTTATTTTTCAAATTAATATTCAAATTATCAAAGTTATAAATTCAAAAACAGTTGACCCTGTTTATCCTATAGGTTAGCTTATTTTTGATGCTAGAAATTAAAAACTTTTCCAGGACTCTGATGGGGTGACTACTATGTTAAAAAACGTCAAACTTTTAAATTCAGCTTACCAAAGTTCTTATTCTTTTTATAAGTCCTGCTAGGATTTCCAGATAAAATACAGGTCACCCAATTAAATTTGAATTATCTAAGAGTCAAATCTATCTATTGCTCTATATTTTTATTTGCTAAATATGGCGACTCTAAATCCAGCAAACTTAAATAGTTACTTTTAAGGGTTTTGGACCCATTTACAAACATTTTAAACTTCTTTTAAAATTTGATATTTTCCTTTTTAAAGTTCTTCAATTGTCTGAACTAACAAAAAGCCACCTTTTTTATACTACATAGTTCTAAGTCTAATAAATGAAACTTACAAGACACTGCCAACCCAAAGGTCTTATAAATGTTCTGTAACTGTACATAAACTTAGTGAGGTTTCAAGTTAGAGTCACAAATCTAAGTCAATTCCCCCAATTGTATATTTTATATTGGAGTCACAAGATTGTCAATTCAGCAGGCCAAAATCTCTCATATGTTACAAGTTTATAAAATACCACACATGTACAGATTCCACTTAAAACACACACAAAAATTTGTACCATGGCTCTGAGTCTCTTAAACACTTCTACACTTAATTCTAAATCTTTCTCTGGTTGGAAGATGCCCACTCACCAAAGAAAACGATTAACCACCCCGTTAACCAGAGCTACTCTTATCAGAGTTCAACCAAGCCTGAGGTCTGAGGTTGAAGATAACAGGGAGATTCATCTCACCATGAGCTCAGGAAACCATTATTTCCTTCCGTGTGCTTTTTGGGGATATCTCTTAGAATTCCTGGATGTGCTTGGCCAGGATGCTGACTGGATGTATGTTGGCGATATACGTGCTCTTTTACCTTTTACTATGTCCACGACTCTGTCGCTTCAAGATGGGTGGTCTGGAAATCCCAATCCTGGCTTCAAGTAATTTTCATTCCCTACTCTTTCTCACAGAAGAATTGTCCTTAACAAAGTCCGCAAATAAAACTTGACTGGCTTCTGCATTGTTTTTGCTTTTCAGATCTTCATATCTTCCTGCCCAAACCTCTAAATGTCATTTTACTTGGGCTGAAATCCTACAATTTTTGCAAAATCTTTCTTTTTCAGGGTCACACAACTCTCACCAACATTAAAATAATATCAAGTTGAATCATGGATCTCTCCATGGGGTTGAACTGGCTATTTGTCCTTAAAGTCCAGGACACTTTATGGACCCATTCTAGCAGACCAGCAATTGCTCTCCCTGGCAACATGCTGTTAGTATTTGGTGTGTTAAATCATGTACAGTAAAACAGTCCAAAGAATTATGTAATTCAATCTAAACTTGATCTTAATTTACTCTCTTAGGCCAGTCAGAGAGTCAGTGCCTGGGTGTGTCCAGGGACAGCTGGCTGCCAAATCCCAGTGTTTAGAGAAAACCCCACAGAATTTCCCATTGCCCCAGCCTCATTGTCCCCCAGCAGAAGGCTCCATCACCTCAGGTGCCCTCTGGGGTGGACCACTTCTAAGTTCATCAACCGTCAGGAAAAGGCACATGGCACACAACCACAGGAGAGATAACCAGATGTCAGAGCTGGCTCCCGGTCGGGATGAGTGACTGCAGGGGACAGCACCTAAATTAGACATGCTAGTTTCATCACTGGGGTGACAAAAACAAGGGCTCTTATAAGGTTAGCCCAGTGTCTTCATTTCTTTGGGGATTCAAACCCATGATCTTCAGTTCCTCAGAGAAGCGAAAGTAGAAACAAGGAATCCAGTAATTCCTGTTGTCTGCAGGCTTTATAAGTCAGCAGAGCTGGGCAGGTGGCCCGGATCCTGCACTCCAAGCCCTGAAGCCACAGGAGCACCAGGATGGCGCAAACCATGGTCTCCCTGCTGCTCCTCCTCTCCATCCAGGGTGCCCTGGCCCTGAGGATCTGCTCCTTCAACGTGAGGTCCTTTGGGGAAAGCAAGAAAGAAAACCGGAACGCCATGGATGTCATTGTGAAGGTGAGCCCCCTTTCCTAGTGGTAGGATCCTGGACACCCCTTTTGCCCTCTCTCCTGACTTCAGACTTCAAGAGACTCAAGAGGAATTTAACTAAAGGGAGCCCTTAGGGTGAACGTAGCAGCTGGCTTGGAATTTTGTAAAGATAAGAACAGCAACAATTACAATAACCACTTCACCTCTCTGTGCCTCCTGTCACAATCTTAAAGTAGGGGTAAAAACCGTACCTTCCTACAGACTTGTTGGGAGGATCACATGAGTTAGTAAAGGTAAAAGCTCTCAACATGGTATCTGGCTCATAATCAGTCCTAGGGAGGGGTTGGCTATTATGATAATCTTTATTACCACTTATCGAAGGCCTGTGTCATGCCCTATAAATGCATGATTTCATTTCATTATCCTATGAGGAAAGATTATTATTTCCCATGTAGAGATGATGAACAAGGAAAGACGAAGTAACATTGCACAGCTGGGTGGGCAGGGGGCTAGGATGCCTGCCCAGCCTGGACTCTGTAACCATCACTGAAGCACAGCCTGCTTGCTTGCTTGCCTTTTTTCTTTCTCTTTTTTTTCTCTCTTTCTTTCCCTTTCTCCTCTCTTTCCTTTCTTCCTTATTTCCTTCCTTTCTTTCTCCCTCCTTCTCAATGATTCCCATCTCCAGCAACCAACCCATTACCAGCTCTCAATTCTCTCTTTCTCTCCACTTAAATAATGCTTTCCTTGGGTAATATGACCAATGCCTACACGCACTGCTCACATTTCTCTGGAGTCAGTTGACTCTTTTTATCTTATGGCTTAATTTATTTTTTGATGCTGGGAACTAACACCTTTCCCAGATCTCTGGCAGGGTGGTTGTTACCTTAGAAAACCCAGAGGCACCATGGTGTGTCAGGAATGCCAGGAGCCCTGGGTTCAGATCCCATCTGACAGCTGTGTGAGCTGGAGAGCCCCTACCTCTCCCCCAGTGTCCAGTTCCTTCCAGAACAGAGTGGCTTCCACAACCCAGTGCTGGTTGAGAGAACTCAGGTAAGAGCCCCGTAGAGCCTGTGGCAAGGCAGGTGTCCATGTCATTATTAGGCAAAGAGGATTCAGGGGAGGGCTGGCATGCTCTGTTCTTACACAGAGAGTCCTCTCCGACCTGGTCGGCCTGCCCTTTGCCTCAGGCTGTCTAGATGTTGCTATTGGACCAGGACAGCCATGCCAAGCCTGTGAGACTCTTGATGCCATGGCTCAGGGGAGAACTCTAACATGTGAGGAATCTCTTTCCCCACTTCCTCATACATGACCCATGGGGCCTGGGTACCTACTGAGTTTCCATCCCCCTCCTCACTTATTCACCCTGGGAAATGGCACCACAATCTTAAGAGGCTGTCTTTTTGTTCTATGGTGATTCCATTGTGGGGGTCTTCCCGGAGGTGCTGTGTCCTATCAGTCATGTCTAAAGTCCTTGTCAAGGCCTCCCTACCTCCCCATTTCTGCAAAGTCATCCTGTAAACAGAGGCCAACCCAGAGCACTGCCAGAGCCTCCCAACAGAGCCTTTACAGGTAAACCAGAATGCTAGGCATTCAGAAAAGTGTTATTTCCAGGGCCCGTGGACTGAGCTCCAGGAATTTTATATTCCTACATAATATTTTGTCATAGGTGGCATTGCCCCCACTTTATAACTGACAACATAAGGCTCAGCATGCTGAAGTGACTTTTCCAAGTTTCCATGGCTAGAAATGAGAACAGCCAGGATCAATCCCAACCATATAACCCAACAGTATAAGCTGCGATGCCTTTTCCACTCCTCCACACTGGGTTCATCACTTCAGGGATGAGCTCAGCGGCATCGTGCTGGTGTCATCCTGACCCTCTCTGGGGGTGATGGAGAGGGAGGAAGGCCTGCCTCGTCCATCTTGGGGCTGCCCACCCATACCCCGGGCAGTTGTCCAGATGCCAACTCTTGCCTGGGCTGGTCTCCTTCTGTCTGTGTGTCCTTCAGTTTGTGTCCTTCAAGAGCAGAGCTTGTCTGTACAACAAATATGCATTGAAGGTAGGCCGTGTGCCAGACACTCTGAGGCACTGGGGGTGCAATTGATGGATGTGGGCAGTGTTGTCTCCCTCTTCATGACATTTGCAGCACAGGATAATATACTTTCAGGGGTGCTTATGGTATGCCGGGCCCTTAATATGCAGTATCCAGGTTCAGCTTCTCAACCACTCTGATTATTACACCCATTTTGCAGATGAGGCAACAGGGGCTCAGAGAGGTGAAGTAAGTTGCCCAGAGCTGTGGAGCACGTAAGCAGCAGAGCAAGGGCCAGGACCCAGGCTCTTCCCCTGTGCTGTGCTGCCCCTGTTTAGGGGCATGGAGCAGGGTTTCATGAGCAGCCCTCTGCTCCAGAAGTTTCAAGACCCCTCCAGACAGTCCCTTTCCTCTCTCCCCACGTTCACTCATGAAACTCCTGGCTGAAATTTCCTCCGCATGAGCCATGCACAGCCTCTTAAAGTCCCTCTCCTCTGCTGTGAACAGAGTCAGGAATTTGGCTTCAGTTGGGGAAATCTCAGAGATGCAGCTCTCAGTTCTAGGAGAGTTTTCTCAAAGCTTTCGTCCCTGGAGCCTCTTCCTGAGGAGATGGAGCCCGGGGAAATATATTTTTCCTGGTCCTCTGGCCTGAAATTGAAGCAGGGAAGACATGTGTCAAGAATGGATTTAGGGATGGCTGGTTAGCTCAGTTGGTTAGAGCATAGTATTATAAAACCAAGGTCAAGGGTTCAGATCTTTGTTCCAGCCAGCTGCCAAAAACAAAAACAAAAACATCTTTACAAAAAAAAAAGAATGGATTTAAAAACTGAATATTTAATGACAGTGGGAAAAATGCTCACAACATACTGTTAGGCTAAAAAAAATGTAAGATACCAAAACTGTATGATAAAGCCACTGTTTGCTGAGGACCTGCTCTGCACCAGACACTGGTCTGAGCCTTTTATATCCATCATGTTATTTAATCCCTGTGACGACCCCATGAGGGGGGTATTGTTATTGTCTCAATTCAAAGATAAGAAGTTTGGGGGTTTAGGGAGATTAAAGCGACTTACTCAAGATCAAGACACAAACCTAAGACATGACTCAAGCCCATAATTAAAGCCAATAGGCTAATCATTATGATGCCAATCTTGTAAATAAGGTACAAACAATATAGAAAAGTGCCTGAGCTTGTGGTTATAGTTCATTAGTGACTGTTATAGTCTTCTCTCTCTTTTTTGTATTTTCCAAATTTTCTATACTAACATTATTTTTATAATCAGAAAATTATAACAAACTTGTTTTTTTAGAATTGAATAGAAAACATATTCCGATTTTTCTTATAATACCATAGGAAAGATTTAAAAGGAAGACAAATTTAATCTGCATGAATTTAGGTCATCTGGTTCCAGTGTGGTCCTCCCTCGCTCCCTCCCCCTGCCTGTTACTCATGCCAGATGCTGAGCCAGGAGCTGCAGATGAAGATTGAATAAAGCAAGGCCTAGCATGTTGTCTAGCACACAGTAGGCCCATGATAAAATTTTGTTCAATGGGAGAACAAATGGATGGACAGATGGGTGGGAGGATGGATGGACAGATGGATGAAGGCCAACTGGTTAAAGTTATAGGTTCCATCCCCAGCAGAATTCTGGTCATGGGATCTTGAGCCATTGCCCATTGCAGCGCATATTCTCATCTACAGGAAATATTCCCAGAAGAATCTGCCCAAGGGAAGTAGAAATCACTAACTGCTAGAGATGCAGGGCTCAGAAGTGCTGTTCCACAAGAAAAGTTGTAAACAGGAAATCTGGAGGCCGAACCCTCTATTAGGAAAAGCCAGCCTGAACCATGGTCCGTATCTGTCTTGCACAGATGGGTCACACCCAAAAAAGGGACCTTGGTCATTGAGAAGGAACAGTCACAAAGACGTGCTGGTTTCCTCGGTTGATGAGTGCAGTGGTCAGGAAGGAGCTCTGCAGTGTAGATGTCCCTTCATCCCCTATTCACTCGGTGTTCAAATTACTAAACCCCACCGAGCTGCAGAGTCCCAGCTATACAATGGGCATGGGAAGGGAACCGGCTCCAAGCATGATCATGAACACACGGTCAGTCAGTGATAAGACCGACCTCTTCTCAGCCCTCACTATGTGCCAGGCACCATACTAGGCACGTTATACGAGAGTACTTCAAAAGTTCATGGAAAGATTCATGCTATCTTTTAATTCTGTTTTTCCACAAGCGTTTTGAAGTTCCCTTGTACAAGACAAGTCACTTGACTTACATCAGATAAGTTATAACAGAACTTGTCATGTCCTAATCAACTTTGCCCATCACTTCCTCCCCACAATTTCTTCCTCTTCAAGCAGGTCTTTTTAATACTTTGATTTTTTAAAATTGCGAGTATAATTTTTAAAAATTACAAATAATAAAATAGTTTTAATAAGTTAAAAATAGTTTATGGACTATACTGCAAATATATAAACATATAAAGAAGGAAAAAATTCACCCATTCTCCTGTCACTTAAAGGTAACCGTTGTTGGCATCTGGGCACTTTTCTCACAGGCATTTTTCTATGCAGATATACACACGAGTCTGCGTCTATTTCAGCACGTTCACCACCATATATCATCAGTCTCGTATTCTGCTTTTACATTAGAAATATTTCCCATTATGTCAATATTCTTTAAATCATGACTTGCAATGCTGTAGAATGCCCTATCCCGTTTGCAATATTCTTCATTGAATAATTTCCTATTTGTGGATACTTAGATTGTTTCCAGTTTTTTTCTTGCAATTGCATCTTCCTCTTAGATCTGTAAAAGTAATAATGATGATTTACCACCTGTCTCCTGCATAGTTGACACTGGTCTAAGTACCCACTTAATCCTCCAGCAACCCTGTGAGGGATTGACTGTTACCATCCCACTTTATGGATGAGGAAACTGAGGTGCTTACAATGGAAGACATTCTTCAAAGTGGGAAAATGCATCAAAGGGTACATACATTCCAAAGTGCCTTCCAGAAAGCTCTGGCAGTCAGCAGTAACTAAATTAGCAGGCTGGCTTGGCCAGTGGCACCCAGCTCCCCGGTTGAACCAAGCTGGATTTCAAGGTTGTCAGTGGAAGGATCCAGACTCCGGACATAGTCCTCCTCCTCAGTCACACACAGGTGGATCTCCAGACGAGAGCAGCTTCTTAAAGGCACATGGACAGTGAGTTCTGGTATCTCTCCCCACTCCACTCTTCCGGAGACAGAACCGGATCATGTGCTCTGGACATAGAGGGCCAGTGGCATAATCCTCCTGCTCCATGGTTTTGCTGACTGGGTGAGAGGACCTAATTAGCCTCGACCAACAAATCCTTTAGCACTGAGCCCCCCAGGATCCCATACACAGAAGGGCCCCTGTGGTCACCAAGAGGTGTGGTCTTGGTCTGCACCCTGGGCTCTCGGCTGTCGCTCACATTGAAGGAGTCTCTCTTGTGTTCCTTTCCCAGAGAGCTTCTTCTCACCTTTTAGGGCTGTTCAGATGTCACTGCTTCCTAACAGCCTTTCCTGATCCTCTGCACAGAAGTAATTAATTAGTTCTCAACACTTCCATGGCTTGGCACTTTCATTTAGCAAAAATTTTATTAGGCCCATATTGTAGCTACTTGTTTCCATTTGTCTCTCTTCCTGGAGTATGAGTCTTTGAGAACAGCAAGTGTATTTTCACAGTTTAGCACGGTGGGCTTTGTAGTCACATAGACCTGAGTTCAAATTCTGACTCTACCACCTACACTGGCTGTGTGACTTTAAGCTAGTCACTCAACCATTCTGAGTTTGGTTTTTGCCTATGTTTAATGGGCCAATAATCATATTCATCCTATAGGATTGCTGCAAGGCTCACAGTAGGTTTGCAATAAATATTAGCTCTTGTAGGGCCGAGCCCGTGGTGCACTTTGGAGAATGCGGCGCTGGGAGCGCAGCAGCGCTCCCGCTGCGGGTTCGGATCCTATATAGGGATGACCGGCGCACTCACAGCGCTCACTGGCTGAGCGCGGTGCAGCCAGTCTCAAAAAGGACAAAAAATATATATATATATTAGCTTTTGTAATTATTATCATTATAATTGTACCTTTTTATTTCTACAATATCCAGCCTAGTACCTTTACTTACTAGGGATTAATAAATATTTATTATGATTATTGTAATTATTCAAGCAAAGCCAAGAGGTAGGTTGTGTGGGGTGTCATAATCATAGGCTCTGGACTTGGATTGCCTGGGTTCACATTATGCCTCGACCTCTTTCCAACTGGGATATAGGGTGATTTACTCCACTTTCTCCCAGTCTCAGCCTCCTAACCTGTAAAATGGACATCATAAAAGCATCTACCTCAGGGAGTCCTTCATTTAGATCAAGGAAAAAATTGAATTATTGTAACAAGCACTCAATGAAATCCTTAAAACATAGTAAGTGTCCAATAAAAGGTTTTATTATTTATAGTAAATGATCTCATACACCTGGTAATTCTTTCTCTGCAGGTCATCAAACGCTGTGACCTCATATTGCTGATGGAAATCAAGGACAGCCAGAACAAAATCTGCCCCACACTGATGGAGAGGCTGAATGGGTAAAGAAGGGACGGGTGGGCCTTATATGGCTCAAGGTCAAGAGCAAGGGCGCCTGAAAAGCCCTACGAGCTGAAAGTAGCGTGAGCTCCAGCACTTACTCTGACCACCAGGTCCCATGGCCGGCACTGCCCAGGCCTTCAACTCTGTCAGCCACGGCCCTGGGAACTGTCCACCAGCTGCTTTTAACACGATAAAGGGAAATAGAGGAAACAGGTGGGGAGTCAGGACAGAGAGAGAAATGAAAGCAATGGATAAGAGGCTGAGCTAAGAAATCCTGTTACAGAGAAAAGATTGAATGCTGACAATGGAAGAAAGGGGCAGTGAGAGTGTAATGTGCCCACACACTGGAGCACTACGCAGCTGCTAAGCCCCGCTTCCACAGAATGTGTCAGAGCTACATATTCCTGCATGGAAAGAGGGCTGCAGTATATATTGAAATCAGCAAGTTCAGAACTGTGGGTAGAGTAGCCCATCACATTACATTCCATGTGCACAAGGCAGTGTCTGTATTTGGATGAGCACAGAAGGAAGACTGGAAGATGTGCTGCAAACTGTTAATAGTGGTGTCACATGGGGGTGTGATTGGAGAGCCATGTGGGCCAGACATGGTGAAGGAATGAGGGGCATTTGCTTTTTATCTTAATACTGTGTACTTACTACAGTGTGCCTCATTGTACCCATGTGTAACATGGGGCTAATGATAGAACCCATCTTCCTGGAAGATCATGATAATCAAGTCATGCACGTAAGTGGTTGAACAGTGCCTGGCATGTAGACATGATCAATAGGTACTGGCAGTGTCTAAAGCCAGTAAAAGGAGGGGAATTGTTTTTTTTTTTTTTTTTTCCTTTTTGTCTTTTTTCGTGTCCAGCAACGGGATCGCAACCCTCTGCGCTGCGCCCGCACCTCGCTCAGCCAGTGAGCGGGAACTGGTCTGTATGTGGGATCCGAACCCTCGGCGGGAGCGCCGCCGCGCTCCCAAGCAGCGCACTGTAGCAGTGCGCCACTGGGCCGGCCCTAAAGTAGGGGAATTGTAATGACAGGTGATGGATTGTCCAGGGGGCCACATGTAACAGCTACCATTGATACCCTAGCTACAGGCCAGGCATCCTCTTAATCAATCTCACATGTGCTATTTCATTTACTCCCCACAACACCTGGGGTTTAGGGACTATCTGCTTCTCTGATGGCTGTGGGAACTGAGGCACAGGGAGGAGGGACCTACCAAGCCCACCTTTGGACCTAGATCAGGTCTGACTCCAAAGCCAGTGCTCTCTTCAGAGCCTCCTCAGCCTTCCTTGGAGTGGCCCCAGTCGGTTTGCAGACTGAGGGCACAGGAGGGCCCCAGGCATCTCCCCACAGTCAATCTGTGTGAGTCTCTCCTTCACCAGTGGTCTCGGCACTTCCAACCTGCCTAGTTGTGCCAAGGACTCAGGCAGAGCCAAGCCTGTTTTGTACCTTATCCCCTGTAAGGCAGGAGGGGCCTTAGTCACCTCACAGCTGAGTCATCACAAGCAGTTTGCCAACCTAGGACGTGGCAGACTAGATTCAGAACAGGGACCGCCTCCCCAAAATGGAAACCCAGCAGAATCCACTGTCCATACTTGTGGGGCTCCAGTGGCCAGGTCTGTCTTAGAAGATGCATTTGAAGTCCCAGGAATTTCTGTACGGTCCAAGTTGCCCCCAAATGCCCTCTCTGCTTGAACCTGAGAATATGCTGCAATTTTAGACATGCCCTAGATTTTATTGTGGGCAGATGGGATGAAACTGTGTCAAGGTCTTCCCACAATGGTGTTAACAGCAGTTTTGGCAAACCCTGAGGGAGTCTTGTTTCTCTGGTGTAGGTGGGGGGTATAGTCAATGGAACTTCGGGGCTGTACCCCCAGCTCCCAGGATATGAACAATAATGATTTGAAATCCTAGTCCCAGGACTTCTGAGTAAATGTCTGGGAGTTTTCAGAGGAGAGAAAGTTACTGTACAAAGGAACTTCAAAAAGTTCGTAGAAAAATGGAACTAAAAGATAAAAATAAAGAATATACTTGATATCTCAACATAAGCTCTATGAAGTTTAGGACATTTTTCTAAGCTATGATACCAGCCACTTAGTCCATCCCTGAAGAACTGAAGGTCCTGGAAATAGAACTGTTCCAATGCAGTCTTTTTCACATTATTAATTGAGGAAAAATGGGTGTTGTTTAAAGATTTTTTTTAATATTAGGAAACAAAAAGACATCAGAAAGAGCTAAATCGGGACTGTAAAATGGTGCCTAATGATTTCCCATTGAAACTCTCACAAAATTGCCCTTGTTTGATGAGAGGAATGAGCAGGGGCATTGCCATGCTGGAGAAGGACTCTCTGGTGAAATGTTCCCTGGGAATTTTTCTGCTAAAGCTTTGGCTAACTTTCTCAAAGCAATCTCATAATAAGCAGATGTTATCAGTCTTTGCCCCTCCAGAAAGTCTACAAACAAAATGCTTTAGCATTCCAAAAAAACTGTTGTCATGATCTTTACTCTAGAACAGGCCACTTTTGCACCGACTAGACCTGTTCCACCTCTTGGTAGCCAGGGCTTTGGTTGTGCATTTTCTTCAGGATTGTACTGATAGAGCCACATTTCATCTCCTGTTAAAATCCTTTGAAGAAGTGCTGCAGGATCTTGATCCTATTTATTGAAAATTTCTATTGAAATCTCTGCTCTTGTCTTTAGCTGATCAGAGTGCAAAAGTTTTGCACCCATCAAGTGGAAAGTTTGCTCAATTTAAAATTTTCAGTCAGAATTGTGTAAGCTGAACCAATTAAGATGTCTATGGTGTTGGTTATTGTTTCAGCTGTTAATCATCCATAATCATCCTTCAGTTAGGGCACTGTATTAGTCCATTTCTGTTGCTTATAACAGAATACCTGAAACTGGGTAATTTATAATGACATCAAATTTATTTCTTACAGTTTTAAAGGCTTGGAAGTCCACAGTCCAGGGCGCATACCTGGTGAGGGCTTTCTTCTTGGTGGGAACTCTCTACATTGTCCCTTGGTGACCAGGTTATCATGTGGTGACAATGGACTGAGCAAGAGAGCTAACCTCCTCACTTGCTCTTCTTATAAAGCCATCAGAACCATGCCTAGTAGCACCCATTAAACCATCAATGGGTTAAACCATTCACAAAGGACACAGTCCTCACAATCCAATCACCTCTTAAAAGCCTCATGTTTCAGTTACCATAAAAGGATTTCCCGCTCTCTTAACACTGCTACAATGGAGATGAAACCTTCAGAATTTAAACATTTGGGAGACACATTCAACCCATAGGAGGCATGAACGAGACTAATGATTTGCTCTCAAGTGGATGTGGTTAGTCTGCCACTGTGGGCATCATCTATCTTGTCCCATCTTAAAATGAGTTATCCATTTAAAAAATTTTAAATTCAAAAAAATTATCATAATAATTATTTTTATTTTTTTTTTGAAGGCCAGCTGGTGCAGGAATTGAACCCTGGACCTTGGTGTTATCAGCACCACCTTTTAACCAACTGAGCTAACCAGCCAGCCCACAATTATCCATTTTTATACAGCTGACTTCTCTGGGGCATTGTCCCCATAAACTTTTTATAAGGCATCAATGATATCACCATTTTTTCACCCAGGCTTCACCATCAATTAGACATTTATTCTTCCTTCTGTTTTAGTAGAATCCATGTTGTCCTGATAGGGGATTTTTTTCAAAATACGGTTTTAACCTTCTTACTTCCTGAAACTAGATTCTGTACAGATATTTTAAAACAAGTCAGTACAAGTGCATTTTGGTGCAAAATATTTTGTAATCCATGCAGTTTTTTCATAATATGCATTTTCCGTGTACTTTTTGACAATCCTGTGTATGATAAACGCTGAGGAAAGGTGCATGGAGGAGGTAAATGATAAGGTTTACTCCACCAGGAAGGATGAGCTGCAGCCTCAGCCATGGGCCAGAGGGGGTTTGGGGATCATCCTGGCCTGAATCTTCTGCAGTCTTAATGGTCTCCATAGGTGCAGGCAAAAGCAAGTGGGTTTTGTCTGAGTCAGATCTGGGATGAAACCCCAGCTTTACACTTGCCAACTACAAAAAGGGGCAGCAGTAGTGCTCACCTCATAAGGCAAGAAAAGAAGTAATGGCTGTGAAGAGACTGGCAGATTCACATTCCAGTCAATGGTGGCGCTTCTTACTGGACTCAAAGGTTATGATCGACAGTTGCCTATTCACATGATGCCACTAGGAGTAGAGAAGCAGATTGAAGAGAGGGGAACCTATGCATTAGAGTGTTGGTTATTCTTCAAGACAAAATGTGAGATCTTTATGTTTTCTAGAAATTCAAGGAGAGGCATAACATACACCTATGTGATTAGCTCTCGGCTCGGAAGAAACACATATAAAGAACAGTACGCCTTTCTCTACAAGTAAGTATGATCTCTGCTCCCTGCAACATGGTCCATTAATAAATTATGACTGTGAATTGAATTCAAATGCGTATCTTTTCTTCAAAACCAGATTCTGATATATAACCAGTTCTAGTGTTGATCAGAATAATTGCTGTCAAAACTGGGGCACATGAAAAGTACTAACTTTTTAAACAAAAAGCCATGAGCAGCCTCCTGACACCGAATCTGTGGTTGGCTCCATGCTGCCTGGGTCAGGAGTTCTGTATTCCTCATAGTCACGTCCTGGTTCAGGGCTGGAAACCTGAGTTGCCCAGCAGGACTGACTCCTGAACTTCATACTCTTCTCTTCTTCCTACCAGTAATTTGTTTTAAGTCTGAACATTTAGCTCCCAAAGATTCTTGACTATTGAGAAGAGATAACTGAGCATTGTTCTTAGGAAGAAGATCCCTTCCAAGACTTCCTTTTTTTCCTTTTAGGGAAAAGCAGGTGTCTGTGAAGAAAAACTACCTCTACCATGATGATCAGGATGGAGATGCAGATGTGTTTTCCAGGGAGCCCTTCGTAGTCTGGTTCCAGTCACCCTCCACTGGTGAGATCCACTTGCCCTTCTGGTCCGCAACTTCCCTGGGATCCCATTAGTGAGGAGCAGCCCTGAGCGTGAGCTGCCCTCTCAGGGTTCGTGCAGCATGTTTAGGGAGGCATTAGGCTTGAGCTGACAAGGCATTGTTTCTTCTAATACCTGCATTAGAGGATGCAGTTTACTTTGATGGCACCAGGCTTACTTCTCAAATGCCATGATTCAAGACCTAACAAGTCTGGAATCAATGATAACCCCACTCTTTTTAGAACACAGTCTTGTGGAAATTATTTACCAGAATTCCTTGGTTCTTGTCAAGTCAACTATTCCTTCATTTGTAAGAGTCCCAAGTGATGGCCACCAAAGATAAACCCCCAGCCTAGAGTCTCACTCTCCCTCCAGTCACTACACAGCAGTGTCCTCTACAGACGGGGGGAGAGAGGAAATCCACACGGAGGGCACCTGCACTCTAACAACAGCAATAGTACCCTAAGTGCCAGCCTCCTGTACTCCTGGCAACAACGCTACGAGGTACGGACTAGGGCCACCTCCCCTCTACATATGAGGAAGCTGAGATGAAATCTCTTGTCCAAGTCACCGGCTACTGAAGTAGACAACCCGAGTTGTCACCAAAGCCACCATCTCAGGGCCCCTGCTCCGAACCACTAAGTAACAACTTTCCACTTTGAGTGGAAACTCAAGAATTAAATTTGGTTTGCAGATTTCAGCTGCATAGAATCAAGTATTTTTCAGTCCCTCATACATGCCAGGCTCTGTTCAGAGCAGCAGACAAGGCAGACAAGGTATTTGCCCTTGGGACGTTATGTAGTAGTGGAAACAAATATGGACCAGAAAAATATGTGCAGAGCTATAAGTATGTACGTCTACATTTATACAACACCAGCATAAACATCCTGAACTATCAGGTTGACTACTGGTGCCCTGAAGTCATTAGCTCAGGGACAGATACTTCAGGAAAACAAACATGAAAGAGTGGTGGAGAAATTACAAATGGAAAAAGAGGAGGAGGAGGGGGCTACTGATGACATGAAATGTCCTTCAGAGAGCACGTGCAATGATCTTTGTCATGCACACGACTGACCTCTGGCTGACCAGGGCAGTGTTCAGAGAGCTCCCCCCCAAAATAATTACTTCTTCTCAAAGAGAGCCCTGAGCCTTTGTGAACTGCAAAACAAACCCATTTGTCCTGAGTGTCTCCCCATCCCCCCTTCCCATTCCCTCTCTCCCCCTGGGATGGCACTGCCTGCTGGCACTTTTCTCTCTTGTACAGGGAAACCTCCTACATCCCCTCTGTCTGGGATTAAAGATGAAGGAGTTCGTTATTTGTCTACCTTTTCTTTCTCTCACTCACTCATTTATCCACTCTTTCATTCATGTATTCAGTCAACAAACATTTCTGAGCGCCTCCCCTTTGCCAGGCACTGTGCTAGATTCTGGAGCCACAAGGGTGAACTACACAGATAAGCCTGGCCTCACGGAGCACAGGATCTCGTGAGCCAAACAAAGAATCTAAGATGTGATTTCAGAGCGTGAATGAAGTAATAAGCAGGTGTACTGATTACAGGGATGGGGCCACCTTAGATGGTGGGGCCAGGGGTGGCCCCTCAGAGGTGACATTGTCTGTGACCTGAGGACCTACCATACAGAGGGCTGAGGGAAGAGCATTCTGGGCAGAGGGCACAGTGAGCACAAAGGCTCAGAGGTGAGAAAGAAGGGGAGCGTTTAGGGGGACCAGAGGCTGTGGGGAGTGAAGTGGAGCCCGAGGAGCCTGAGGCAGGAGTGGGGATCCAGGGAGAGCATGAGGGGGACTCCCAGGAGGACGTGCTCAGAAGGCGACAGCTGCTGTGAGCAGGTGGGCCAGGCCCGGCTCCTGAGGCTCCTGCACATGGCCTCTGTCAGGCTCTCTCAGTGTCCCAGTAGGGCGATGAGGATTTCAGACACTTCACAAAAGACCATTTTATTTTTAAAGAAAATAACTTTTGGGAGGCTTTTATTTCTAATTACAAAAGGAGTATAAACTGACAAGCCTCACTTTTTTTTCAATTAGAAAAGATTTTTTCCCATTTGTACAAAAGCCAAACTAGCTCATTATTTTTTAAAATAGAAAATCCAATCATAAATATATACAATTTTATTAGTCGATGAAAAATAAGAAGAAAAAAGTACCCCAGAAAAAAAGAGAAAATAAACCTTCCCAGATAACCAGCAAGAAACACTGTCTATGAGCTTCCTCTTCGTTGTGAAGGGTCAGTGGGAGAAAAGAGTATGTCAAGAACTAAAAGGAATCACCTCAAACCCTGAGATCATTGTAACCAAAGCCACTGGCTGAACCCTCTGGGCGACTGGGACCCACGCGGTACAGTCAGAGCCTCCTGCTTGTCTTCTTTAACAGCGTTCATGCGACATTGACAGGGGAAGCGTGTGACCTCTGCCTCTTTCCTGTTCCACAGCTATCAAGGACTTCGTGATTGTCCCCCTGCACACCACCCCTGAGACATCTGTTAAAGAGATCGACGAGCTTGCTGATGTCTACATGGATGTGAAAAGCCGTTGGAAGGCGGAGGTACTGACCTCTGACTTGGTCGATTTCCCATCCAGCAGGGACAGGATCTCGTCCTTGAGTGGGATGAGTAACTCTGTAGGGAGGGTAAGGGCGACAGGACACACACAGGCCACCACCACTTCACAGCTTCTGTTTAGACCTTTCCTCCACCCTAAATATCTTCGTTGCTAAATCTGCCTGGGGACCGTCCACTCTGGCCTTGGGAATTCACACGCTGCTCCGTGGATAGTGGAAGCCGACACGCACCGAGAGAGGAGCTGGTGCAGGCACTGTGCTGGGGCCTGACAGGGAGGAGTTTATTTACTCCTCCCAATAATCCCACGAGGCAGCTCCTTTTGTCATTCCCGCTTTACAGTCGAGAAGAGTGAGGCAGAGCGAGACCGGGAGTGTTCTGGGGGCAAGTGGCAGAATCTTAACATGGCTCATGAAAAGGAGGAGCAGTTTCTTGGCTCATGTAACTGAAATGTCCAGGGGTAGGTCGGATATGCTGGATCCGAGCTCGGACATGGTACTGAGGGCTTGGTGTGTCTCTTCTGCCCTTTCCTCTGGGTGGGCTCCATTCTCAGGTCAGCTCTACTCTGAGGGTAGCAAGATGGCTCCAGACCAACTGACAAGTTTCCTTTCCCACAATGCAACAAATGCCTTAGGATTGAGTCTCATTGGCTCTGACTGGGTCACATGTCCATCAGTGAACCAATCACTGTGATGAGCATTGAGATGCTCTGATTGGCTAAACCTGTGCCAACTCCACCCTAACCCCATGGATTGAGGTGAGAGAGGGAGGGGTGGCTTCCCAAGGAGCCCTGGGGTCTGTTGTCACAGAAGCAGGAATACACCCGCCACCCTCTAGGCCTCAATTACTGCCTCATCTGCAAGACTAGGGCTCAACCACTTGTGGCTGTGAGGGGCTGTGAAAGCTCTGGTCAAATAGGGACGTTCTCCTAAGGCTCTTCTTCCACATTCCTCCTTTCTGCTTTTGAGATGTGACTCCCGTGAGACACCTTCCTCCTCCTCAGTTCCTCTGCTCAACGTGCAAAATGAGTCAAGTAAATGTGGATGCAGCTGGCCAGAGCTGGGGCATGGAGAAGACAGGGGGTGTATTTTATTGCTTATTTGTAAACTGCAGGGCAAGAGAAAGACTCATCCATTCATTCCAAGAATTGCAAAATCATTCATTCATTCGAAAAGAATGTATTGAGCATCTGCTAATGTCAGGCGTTAGGGTGGCATTAGTGGCCCAAAAGTGACCAAGAAGTGACACTCTCGTGATGAGGGGCATTGTATTAGGCTGACTGGGTTCAATTCTTTTTTTTTTTTTTTTCTTTTCTTTTGGCAGCTGGCCGGTATAGGGATGTAAACTCGGACCTTGGTGTTATTACTACCACTCTCTAACCAACTGAGCTGGCAAGTCATTTTGAAGGGTTCAATTCTTAACCAGAACCTGCCAGTCCCGTGGCCTTGACAGGTCACTAAATCCCTGTATACTGTGTCTAATGTTCCCTTCTGCCTCCTAGTGTTTATTGTTGATGATGTAAATTAAACTTCACAAAACACTTAGTTCTGGGCCTGGCACATAGTGAATGCTCAGCATTCTTTATGTCTATATTAGTAGAACCTTGTGATCACTGAGGTTAAGGATGACAATTTGTCCTCCAAAGTGCCACAGGGATCAACATGGTCAAAATGATATGTTCTTGGAGAAAACTCTAAAGTGGACAACCACTGAAAATAATAGCAAACAAAGAAAATCTGACACTTCCTCTGTGTTGTGGAATGTTAAAATTCTGTTCCAGGAGCCCTGCAGAGAAAAACGCTTCCAAGAGAGAACATTTCTATTGGTGCCTCGGGCGGGTATGAGCAGCTCACTCTAATGCCCCCTCCACCTGAAACTCCTCCCAGTTCCTCAATGGACTGAATGTCCACAGGAATAAGTTTCCAAGTTCAAAATAATAGGAGGGAAAAAGTGATGCCAAAGCTGTCAGTCTACCCCCCAAGTTCAGTCTTCCTGGTTGGAAACAAAAGACATCGATTCATTATTTTTTATACTGTACGGTGGCTTGAGCCAGACAGAAGATGTGAGGGAATACATCAGCTGGATTCTTGGATCCCACCTGACACTGCACGCTGAATTACAGAGACCTGGTGACTGAAAACAGCACACACACCCCTTCCCACTAAGACCACCCTCCCTTGTCCACACTCGCCTGTCACGCGCTCATCAACTCTGTGCCTCAATTATAAACTGTGGACTCTACGTGTAAAGAGCAAAAGGGAACTGAGAAAGACACTGTATTAGTTTGTGAGGGCTGCCATAACAAAGTCCCGTAGACTGGGGGGTTTAAACAATGGAAAGTCATTCCTCACAGTTACAGAGGCCGGAAGTCCAAGATCAAGATGGTAAGCAGCATTGGTTTCTTTTGGATGCCTCTGTCCTCGGTTTGTAGATGGTCCTCTTCTTCCAGTGACTTTATGTGGCCTTCCCTCTGTGTGTCTCTCTCTTTTCATCTCCCCTTTTTATAAAGATACCAGTCATAGCAGATTAGGGTCTCAGATGACCCAGATGACCTCATTTTACCTTAATTGCCTCTTTAAAGACCCTATCTGCAAATACAGTAACATTTTAAGGTACTGGGGTTAGGACTAAAAAATATGAATTTGGGGAAAATACACTTCAGCTAACAACAGATCCCTTTGTATACTGGGTGTAGTAGGTGGAATCATTGCTAGCAGTCACAAGTAAAGCGTTCTGTGACAACGCCCACCACGTGACCACCAGGTGACAGTTCCAAATTGTGTCTTTCAGAATTTCGTTTTCATGGGCAACTTCAATGCTGGCTGTAGCTACGTTCCCCAGAAAGGAGTGAAGGCTATGCCCTTCATGGCCGACCCCAGCTTCGTTTGGCTGATTGACGACAATCAGGACACCACAGTCAAGAAGGGCAATGGTTGTGCATATGACAGGTAGGAGGCGTGTGCAGGAGGCTCTGGCCCATTCAGTGCTTGCTGTGCACTAGAAAAGCCAGCCCCTCAGGGCAGAGGGAGCACAGGGTTTGGAGAGTTAGTCCGTTGGATTTCAGGCCCCTCCACCAGGTTCCTTGTGCAGTGAATAAACCACAGGACCCTGTACAGTGACCCTGGGCACTGGAACTCAGCAGTGGCAAACACTGGTTTTAGTATCAGACAGGCCTTGTTTCAAATCCGGACTCTACGTGTTAATAAGTCTGTCAGAAAGAGATGTAGGTTCTCTGTGCCTTCATTTCCTCCCCTGTAAATCAGATTGCTGCGGTGCTTCCCATCGTGGAGATATGATGAGGATCACATGAAGTGACACACATGCAGCTGCTAGCACAGGGCCTGGNCTTTGATCCCACCTGACACTGCACGCTGAATTACAGAGACCTGGTGACGGAGACCAGCAAACACCCCCCTTCCCACTAAGACCACTCTCCCCTGTATGTACTCACCTGCCACAAACTCATCAACACTGTGCCTCAGTTATAAACTGTGGACTCTACTTTTAAAAGCAAAAAGAAATTAAGAAGGATCCTGTATTAATTTGCAAGGGCTGACATAACAAAGTACCAAAGACTAGGAGTTTTACACAACGGAATGTTATTTCCTCACAGTTACAGAGGTTAGAAGTCCAAGATCAAGGTGGTCAGCAGTGTTGGTTTCTTTTGGTGGCCTCTGTCCTNGGCCCTCAGGACAGCAAGACCACTAATAGGGTTCCCGTGGACCCATGCAGGAGCGAGGAGCTAGAACAGCTAAACAAGGGGAGCCACTCAGAGGCCGGTGAGTCGATGCAGGGACCAGTGCAGGGCCCATCCCATGGGAGGTGTTTGGAGCATGGGCGGTGGGGAAGACGGGCCCACTGGGAGAACACTGGGACACAGCAAGAACAACTGATCTGTCCCCCAGTCAGCACAGGACCACTCAGAGGAGACTGGTCTGGAATGCAGAATTGCATGGGGTGCAGTTTAATGAAAACACTCAGACCCAGATCAGAGTTTCTACACAACCCAAGTGCACCGAGTACCTGGAGAGCTGGAGGTACCTTTCAGGTCAACCATTGAACCCTGAGCTGCACAAAACGTCTTCCCTACGGAAACAGCAGCAAAGCAGCAATTTAGCTCAACCACACAGCTCAAGTGCTGGTTCCACAGGAAGTTCCTCGGTTTTAGAAGTAAGCAAAGGACAAAAACTTAGTTCCAGCCCAGGCACACCACCAGTGCCTTGGGGCCCACCAGGGGACATGAGGCATGAGGCCAGGGGCAGGACTCCCACCCACAACCACTCTCACCACCAGCACCTTGGGGCCCCATCCAGGAACCCAAGGATTGGAGCCAGGGACTGGACGCCAATCCCACATTCAGGCAAACCACCAATGCCTCGGGGCCACCTGGGGACCCGGGGCATGGAGAATAGGACCAGACCCCCCTCCTACAACCAGACACCCCACGCCAGTGACTCGGGGCCCGCCTGGGACCCAGGACACAGAGAAGGGGACCGGACCCCTCTCCCACAACCAGGCTCACTGTGCCAGCACCTTGGGGCCCATCCGGGGACCCAGGACATGGAGAAGGGGACCAGACCCCTTCCCACAGCCAGAAACACAGCGTCAGTGCCTCAGGGCCCACCCGATGACCTGGGGCCTGGAGAAGGAGACCAGACCCCGCTCCCACAACCAGACACACCTCACCAGCACCTTGGGGCCCACCCACGGCATGGAGAAGGGGACTGGACCCCCCTACCACAACCAGGTACCCTGTGCAAGTGCCTCAGGTCCCACTCAGGGACCCAGGGCATGGAAAAGGGACCGGACCCCCCCTCCCACAACCAGGCTCACCATGCCAGTGCCTTGGGGCCCATCTGGGGACCCAGGGCATGAAGAAGGGGACCGGACTCTCCTCCCACAACTTGGCACACTATGCCAGTACCTCAGGACCCACTCAGGGACCTGGGGTATGGAGCTGGGGATCAGACATTCTCCACAACCAGGCACACCAGCAGCAACAAGGAGCATGCCAAAAACATCATCTCCATGTGGGTGGCCCACCAAAGCCACCACAATAACCATGGCTGCTGTGAAGGCGGCTAGACACCACAACCACTATGCAGATTGTCCACCAGCCACTGCAATGCATTAACATAAGGAGAGTCACCAACAGAGATAAAGGAGGAGGATGTCTATCTCCACAGAGCCCATTTCATAGTGACAGAAGAGACATCTGCTCTATGATAGTATTGGGGCACCTGATCACATCTCGCAGCATTGGACCGATCTTTTGGGCAGCAAATCAACAGAGTAACCATTATACTTTCAGAGGGAGAGAAGAAATCTAGAGTGATTACAGGGGGGCAGGTGGAGGGATGAGGGATACGGAGGGATTGGACAAAGAACATAAAGAATAATTACAATTTGTAACAATACGTATGCTAGTAATATTGATTTGATCAACATATCTCAATGTTGAATCCCCAAATTTGTATAATCAATTTTGATTCAATAAAAATTAAAAAGAAAGAAACAGGAAGGAAGAGAGGGAAGGAGGAAGGGAGGAAGGAAGGAAGGGACGAATGAAGGAGAAAGAAAAGAAAAAGAAAGAAAGAGAAAAAATGAGATTGCTGCAGTGCTCCATTGTGGAGATACGATGAGGATCACATGAAGTGACACACATGCAGCTGCTAGCACAGGGCGTGCCCTGTGACCAGGGCTCACTACGGTCATTGGCTGTTCATTATTCCAACACAAAGATGTCCCA